AAAGGGTAGCTGCAGTCGGCACATGTTGAACGAGATTCATCGAATATTTCTATATTCTATATTGCTACTCCTTCTACATCCAAGTTATTCAAAGCAATAAATTCAACTCCTCAAAGCTGCATCCAAATTCCCTCAACAACACTCCTGAGACGCTCATCAACAGTGGCGGCTGACTGGGCCCAGCAAAACAAGTTTGGCGTTCCCCTTTTTTGGTCTCTTCGATCCCAACCGAAGATCCGTTAAACTACCCTACTGCATCCTACTATCCAAATTGTAATCCATCCTCTGAGTACCACACACACAAACGCGGTGAATGCCATCGATGCGCCGCAGTGAGTTGAATCTGGGCATCCCACGTGCATGCCATCGATCAGGTTGTCAAAGTCGGCCGATGGGATAAACTTCGTCTTCTCCACCTCAATCGCGTGTGGCGTCGGGACCCTCAGTCAGTCGATCTGCAGTGGTTCGATGGTGGTTTTAGGAGGATGTGGCACGCGTTTGTCTCTCACGGGATGATTCGGAATGCAATTTCTATTCTTCGCAAAAGCGATGACAATTCTCTACCAAATTGTGAGCAGATGCTTGATCCAACTCAGGTGACCATGGGCCCTACCAAGATCAGGCGCATTGAAATGCCCATGTTCGACTGTCTAGCGAGGCAGCAAGTGGTCCTCTTTTCTTATTGTCCATCGATCCAGAAATTCAATGCCCTAATTCCGCTCATGGGAAAAGGATGGAAAGGGTATACATGGGCACACCATTTCTTCGCCCGATCTTGCGTCATTTTCTCCCTACGTGCCACGGGTCAAAGCCAACAGGACAAGATCCTTTCCTCCTGCAATATGTGGCTAGTGCCTTTGGGTTGTGGACGTGGGACCTCTCAAAAGGATTATCACATCGGAGTATTGCTGACCACATGTCAATACATTTCATGTCTTGTACATACCACCCATGGCCCTGCCATTCGGATGTGAGCACAATGTGACAGGGCCATTGGCTCCCTTTCCAGCTCGTGTCTCGTAGCCCTTTGGCTCGGCTGAAACGTAGGAGTAAAAATGCTCCTGAGGATTTTTAGCTTCACTTGTGTACTTAGTTGGAACTGCAGGGGGGCCTCTGAGGCCGGCCCTTGTTCGACCCCAGGTCATGGCTATCGCCATTGCCGGGTTTGGGTGTCTAATCTTCCTAAAAGCCTAAACCCCATCTCGGCTCACAAACATGACAAGGTAGTGCTACTGTGCGCTTCTCTTGTGGTGCAAAGCTGCCTTGCTCATCATTCGCATATGGTGATTTTGAGATTCCAGTGCTTCTCTCGCCAGGAAGTCTGCAAACAAACACCGTAGACCTTCAAGTTCGAAGATTGCTCATTTGCAGAACACCAAAAAGTGACTGAATTCACTCTTGAAAATCATTGAAGTTCACTCGACAGGCCAAGACAAATCCCAAAAGAAGCAGCGCAAAGCACTACTGGAACCACTACAGTCAAGGCTCCCAGAAACAAACCAAAACATTGCACATATTATCAAAAACCATCCACATCTATTCGCGCAAGGTACCAAACCTTCGAAGTCACCCCTCCGTCTGCTTTTCTCCCAGCGGCCACATGTTCCAAATCAAGGGCCGAAGCCCACGGCACACCGCCCGGCATCTGGCGCGGCATCCTGCATGGCCGCCCACAGGCTGGCATCAGTGTTTTTGGTAAAACCAAATCAAAGACCGATTCCAAAAAGGACTTCACTTGTTGATGGATATAGAACACACGGGGGTCAAGCCATAGCGACATGCAACGTCCACAAAGATCTCAATTAGATTTGAGATGTTTTAACTGGAGATAGCCTGCTCCTGATGAGCAGCCCAATCCAACAAAGAACCAAAGACTTTGTGTTGCATGAAACTATCGCAACCTGCTGCAGCACACATCATCTCGTAGAAAACTGTTTTACATCCTCTTACAACATATATACCCTCGTTAAAAGGAGGATGCATGATGGCTGAACCCCCAAAAAGCAACCCTAGGTTAACAACAAACACCCGCTTTGCAAACACAGTCACACCTTCACGCAACGAAACCTTATCATACCGACAATATACAATTAAATACATTATATATATGATATTATATGTATACTATATGTATGAATATCAGGCATTGAACGGATATGAGGAAGACCATCCATCTACAAAGTTTCCTCCAATTTCGTCCTCTCGAGCTGCTGCATGGCACGGCTGCCGTCCGCCTTGACGATGCGGTACAGGTTCAGGGCCTGCGGAGCGAGACCCGAGCGAGGAGCGATCATCGCTCGCGATGGATCTGATGATCGATGGATCGATGGATCGGAGATGAAGATGGCCAAAACTGACCATGCTTGCTGCTTGCCCCCGTGTTTCCACAGCATAGATCGCGAAGAGAAAAGGAAAACACCAATTCATATAGAACTTGCTTTAGTTCTTGGAATGGCTATCCTATGAGGGGGGTGGTTGCTTGATGTTGTGATAGTAGGCAAACGAATGTATGACACCCAAACTCAGCAACACACCAGTTGACCGAACCGCCCAAGACCGAAGACCCAATGCCAGGCCTCACGAGTCCCGACGTTTTGGAATGACTGCATCACTCTTAAGCTGGACGTATGCGCACATATGCGGATTCGTTGTGCCTATACAGTGATTTGGTTTCACAGTCAACGTGCCATGCAGCTGCCATGCAGCTGCCATGCAGCTGCCATGCAGCCTGCAGTCCTTCGAAACCCGACCCGACACATCTGTCACATCTGGACACCATCAAACAAGGTGACAAGTTACCCAAGCAGCATCAGTAAGTTAACCAACAGCTACTTTTTAAACCCCTGTACATCTTCCAACCGTTTTTACCCAAGTCTACACATCCATCATCCATCTCTAACCAGAACATACCAGAACTATCAATCCCTGGGTTCGTGTGAAAGAGATCGACCTCTTGTCCTCTCAGATCGTCTGAGCCTCTCGGACATCTTTGATCTTGTCATGCACCTCCCGCAGGCCATCCACGATGTCAGGACCTCACTGAAACATGGACCAAAGCGTTGCGAAGCATTGCCGTTGCGAAGACCCGCGCCCTTCGGATCTCTTCGTGGGGGTCCCAAAAAGAGAGACGTTCAGAATCAAGGGTTGCAAAGCTTTTTGGCTGAACACTCATCACTTAACCAGGACACTCAAGAACACTGAAACTCAACACCTCGCACTGATAACATGTGAAAACAAATAAGAAAAGAACTCAAAAACAAGAAAATAACATCGGACTGACTGACCACGGACTGACGTACACCAATTTGTTTGGTGGTTCATCCTTGGGCTACCCTCTTCCAGAAGATCGGACAGCTAAAACATCTGAAACCACACCAAGTGTCCTCCACGACCCCCCCCCTTGCACCCCTGCAAGGCCCTGCACCCAGCGATCTACCGGTGTCCTACTCCGAGGCGCCTAGGGCGGGATCTTTGCCCTTGCCCAGGCGCTGGTCAATGACACCATAGTCCTCGGGGGGGGGGGGAAGACTTGGGAACCCCCTGAAGATCACGACGAAGAGGTTGGAGGGGGTAAGGGCCAAGGAATCCAATCTGGCATGTTTAGTTGCACGGGTGCGGCAGGTGCGGCACAGTGCGGTATGGCCGATGGATGGTCTATACATTTTAACGTCTATGCCTATGCCATACACCTATAGACAAGTTGTCCAAACTGAAGAATTGATAGCATCATTCAAGCGAATCATCCAAAACCAAGGTCATGCAACAGATTGCAACAATGGATGCACATAAATCCGCCCTCAACTTCTCAAAGTTTGTACGAGTAAGATGTTCATAAGGAAAGGCCCAAGTCTGCCACATCAAGTCACAGTCTGCCCATCACAGCGCTTCGAAGGAAATCTTGGGGACCCTGATTGAAGCTCTTTCTTCTTGTATAGCACCTTCATACCCCCTTTGATCGCCAAAGAGTCTTCGTAGCTGTGGCTCCGAGATACTTGGTTCTCTCATCATCTCTCATCCACCTTTTTCATTTCTTTATTGTGATACAGCCAGTCAGATTCAGATGTGGATTCTTGTGAAGTCTCTTCGCAGAAAATGATATCCTTCGAAGTATGGATCACATCATCACTCAGCACCCTGCACCTCTTCCTGGCATTGCCTGTGATGTCGTAGCACACAATCACCAGGTGTTCAACACAAGACTTGTCCAGCATTTCTTACAGAATCTCGCAGGTTTTCGTTGCCGGGCTCCCGCACTTGGCTAGGAGCTTCCTACCGCTGCAGAGAACCATGGTCAAGAGTCCATCAGAATAAACAGGCATGTAAGGCAACCAACAAGATCCGAGGCCATAAGTCTCAGCTTGCCCTTCCACCACAATGAATACGGCTCAAACATGAAGCGAGTGGGAAAGCAAAGAAGCACACAATTAGAGATTCCTCCGAGATCTGGAGTGGTATTTCCTCGGACACATGGCCACCAACACAGTAACTCACTAGGCTTGGTTCAATCTTCAAAAGGTCAACGAATCGATCATCAACACTTTAGGACCACTTCCACTTCCAGTTCCTGATGCATCAGCGATTGGAGAACCTTCTGCCGAAGGGAGGAATGCATCAGATGGCCAACATCTTTAAGCCCAACGTATCTTACCTATCTTGGCATGTCTCGCTCAAAGACTTTTGCTTGGCTCAAATCCTAAATGGTTGTTTAATGTTTGTTTATATGAATTTATATATAATATTGGTTGAGTCAAGATGTCTGTTGGTGTTCATTCCAACCACAAACAGTCTTGGCTCCTGCAAGGCTTTGTGGCTTGGAGCAGCTGGTGCAGTGGATATCAACGGGCTCTCTTCCTCCAGGTACTCACCTCAGACGAGCTTTTGGATTCCAAGGAGGACATCCACAGGCCAACCCCTATTGATCTTCCAACATTTCTCAAGTGTAGACACACGTCATAGTTAACTTGAAAAAAGGGAGTTCCTAATAATTACATGTGACATTCATCTGTCTGTGCGCATGGGAAACCTTCATGAGCTGGAATGCTCATCGCTCAGTGAAAAAACATGATGACTCGAACATGTCCCAACCTATTCAGCTTCCATATTAGCTCTGACCAGCTCTGCTCTCATCTAAGACCCGGACCGCCGCCATAGTCCTCGGCCCCTGCGACTGCGTCGCAGTGATGCGAAAAGGCTAAGCTGTGTATCTTGAAAACCCCTGGGATTGCTGGAACAAGCAAAAGGTAAAACCAAAAGGACATAATCACGTGCAAACCGTTGCCATGGGAAAGAAATACACTAAACAAGGATTTGATCGTCTTCTATTCTTTTTTTCGGGGGAAGGCTTGGTGCGAAGCGAAACCACTTGCTTTGATTCTACAGCTTGGAGCAATATGTGGTTGCATCCATGGCTGACTGTGGGGCAGAGTCTACGTTTTATTGAACCAATTACAAATACTCAAACAAGAGAGCGAGGATTGATTGCCATCTCACCTCACGGCTCTCTTTCCATCCCCAGACTGAAAACACCTGAAAAGTTCTTGGTATGACAATGAGAGCCGTAGTCACCTGCATCATGAGGCTCTTGTTTCGCACAGGTGCAACGGCTTCATATTTGTGGGTCGCCAACAGCACATGGTGCATCTAGGCTATCAAAATTGAACGCATTCATGCGAATACCTCGTTCAGACCATGCCTGCATCTCCATACGGTTCGCCTCACAAATGTCTGCCAGTTCAATTCCGTACAACGTAACACAACGCAACTCTTCTGAATGCAGTCGAGCATGATCGTATGCTACCTCTCAACCATGCCAACGTTAATTTGTAAGCAGAAGCGCAAACATGTTTCTGTGAAACTAGTAGCCCGACATGAGGTCACCATCAGAACAATGAACAATCCGTTCATAAATGATGTTGTTTCGATCTTTTGTCCTTCAATCATTGATGTCCTGGCTCTTCTTTTCCGGTCACAGCCGATGAGTCGAAGTTGGGGCACTGAATCACTGTTCAACTTCAAGAAAATGCAATCGTTATGTAAAGACAAAAACTAATTGAATCCTGATCAATCCATGTAGTAGGGTGTATTTACTCTTCAGTTGGGATGTTTTCAGGGAAACATATTGTCGAAACACTTACTGTATATTATATATACACGTTGGCAAACTGCCATTCTGCCTCCTCTTGGACATGCATAAATTAGTGCGTTAATTTGGTGCTGAAATGTAAAGACTCACACCTTTGACACACTAAAGGTTCAACCTTCAACATGGAATACACCAACTTGCCTGCACTGTGCGATGCTTTTTCTAGATCCACTTCAACTACCGAACCATCTGTCACATCCTATTATCGGTTCCAGTTCTGCTCCATTGGACCATCCAGCGGCCTCCATAGCCATAGTCATCGTAGCCATAGCCCCCGCCGTAACCCTCGTAGCCACCTTGGAGGAGCTGAAACGGTTTGTCGAACCTGGAGAACGAGGTGAAGGCCTAGTAAGGAGTAGCCGGATGTGCTTTTCTAGTCTTTACTGGTTTCTAGTCTTTATGTGGACCTGGGCCCTGGAATCTGGCTCTCTTGGATCTTGCTGCACAACAATGCGTTGCCAGGTCGCGGTCAGGTTTAATTACAACGTAGCTGGAGCTCCGTCTACTGACTTGATCCCCTACTCAAGAGTCGATGATGAAAAAGTGCCGCGAACGGCCACGCCTCCATAGCCATAGTCGTATTCGTTGCCGTACTCGGGCTCATACCCTGACATGAAGCGAAAGGCTCAGGGTTGCGATTCAATGAGTCATGATTTTAGAAAGAAAGCTTTCTTCCTTTTCTTGTTTCTTTGTTTCTAATAGCGATGGCCTCCAACCTACTAGTGTCCGCCTCCAATCTACCAGCGATGGCCTGCAAACCTGCATGATGAACGCGTTGCGAACTCAGCAAATCAAGAATCCAGCTATTGAGTGGACTTGGAGATTACCTTGACGGGTGCACGGGCGCTAGAAACCTGCTGGCGTGAAGAAGTTTAAGACAGTTGGCAGCACAACTTGGGTCAAGTCCTCTTTCCAGACTTGTTCCGTTTGTCTTACACATTTGCCAATCGTTAACCCAACAAGTGCCTATCTGTAACTAAGGACCACGATCTGGAGTCTCTTAACAATTGGCATTTTAATGTATTATATGTTGCTCCTCACGTGGTTTCTCCATAAGACTAGGCTTATTGGGCTTGCCGCATTCTAGCATGAGGGAACTGCTTTGCAGCCACACACGTTGCCTCCAGGCCAACCCCAATGCCACCACCACCCATGGCCCCCCCCGCACCTGCTCCCTGCACCTCAGGAAAAGCAGCGCGGGTAGCCCACAGGTGACCTGACGTACGTACAGTATCTACTGTGCAATCTAACGAAACATCTGTTTAAACAATCTAGAACGGCCAGCAGATACGTTGGATGTGCTGCTCAGTGGAACACAACAAAAGGGATTGAGGCAAAGTTCAGCTTTCACCATGGGATGATTTGAGGTCTCAAAAGCGGAGGCCAACCAGGCCTCCTGACCTGCACTAGTAATACTCTCCTTTCATCGATATGTCACATTCAAGGAAGCATCGTCTGGGAGTACAAACGCATTTTCCGTGAACACATTCGGACAGTCTCTGTTTGAAGCACCAGCCCGCCACAATATCAAACCAAAACAGATCCATAAGCACCTACGAGCAGCATCCATGGGCAACATGTGCTTCCTACATCCTGTCTAATGACTCGGTTTGGGGGGGTCTAATTCCAGACGAACACGCGAGCCACGTCCCTCTGATGATTGAACCTCACATCCATCTGACCTGGCGCTTCACATCGAAAATAGACTTCCCCAGTCACAAATGTTACACTTCCCCAAGCAAAATGCTTCCCCAACGCTGCCAGCTTCCCTTTCTTCGGCTCCTCCACCACATCCTGAGCTTGGCGCGAAGGAGCTGAAGACCGCGGCGGGTCCTGCGTGAGGTGCACCCAGTCCCGCTGGTCGGGTGTGGAACTCTGTGGGGTTACACATGCATGTTTATTTATTGTGTTTTTTGTTTTTTTTAAATGTGGCTTCATGCACCGACTACTGCGCAAGTTTGAATCCGCAATGAGAATGGCAGATACGTGAAACTTAGGGGTCCCTGGATACGAGCAGGTTGAGTGGCTCGATGACTTTGCAGAGTGAAATCCCAGGGTCCTGCAACCATACTCTTTGTACTTTCACATAATATGGTGTACCTCTGGGCCATGAGGGTTACCCGCTCCTAGTGGTGAGACGTGCGGGGCGAGACGTTGCGTACAAAACTTGGATGAGTATCTACAGGAAGCAATGAGTATCAGTAATTGTGAACACGGCCTCCTGTAGGAAATACATGAGGCCTTGTAGGTTTCATTAATTAATGAGGCCACAGAACGGGCCACAGAATATCCTAGGTATTTTCAGTCCATGGTGTATCCATAGGAACCAATGAGTGTAATGACCTCTGGAGCCTGGAACAGGCGATAAGAAGTCGTCGAGTGCCACTCGCGCTCAGTGCCATGCAAAACTGGTTCCAAACGCTCAGTGCCAGGGGCTTTTCCAGTCTTCTCCCAACCGTGAAGAACTGACCTTCCATGATCTAATTACGCACCAGTTCTGGTGGAGAAGGGGGCGCCTCCAAGTTGCTTTGTCAAAGTTCGTTCCTGTCGATGATTTGAAGAAGTCCATGCAAGTCTGCTCTTTACTTTCGGTGAACTCCACCCAGTTGTCCAAGACAAAAGCCGTGTCACCCTGGCGGAGTACGTCTTAATTGTCCCGAAGGCCAGAGGTTCATTTTTGTTAAAAACAAGGGTATACAAGGGTACGTTGGGTATATTAAACATGGACGATGATGGTTAGTAAAGTCCTTGTTCAACATAGTGACAATTGTTTACCGACTGTTGCAGGTAATGCACAACCCCAAGGTGTATATATATATATATTTGTGTAACGAATCCTCGACTCAAGGTCCATTGCACATGTTGTAGTCATCCTCAAGTAGAGGGCAACATCTCAAGGTCATACTCATGAAAACAAATACGTTGGCGAAAATTAACAAACTCGTTCATATTCATGCAGAGTTAGTGTGCTGGAAGGTATCTTCATTTCTTGGACTTCACTCATCCCTTCACTTCAGCAGTCTTGGACCCGGCTACACGTCCTGCGATCTGCTCTAAGCGGTGGCCGAGGGATGGCATTGCTCAAGCAAAGCAGGGGGTACAGGGCATGCGGTCTAAGCAAATAGGTTATGAATAGATAATGATATGAATAGACAGTGTCAGCAAATAAGCACCTGAGCTTTTGAAGTCCAGTGTTCTTTCTTTGCTCAGTTGCAGAACCTCATGTACATGAGCTTCTAGCGCAAGGTTCTGCAGATCTTCGATCGGACCCTGTGTGAAAGTTTGGAACCTCGCCTCTTCTGTCACCATGATGGTGCTTCGAACCGGCGTGTCGAACGGGCGCACTTGGCTGTAGTGACACGGTTGGGTCTCGGCATGAACATGAGGAGGATCCATACTAGAATAAACATATCTATTGTCTATACTATACCAGTCATCAAACTCCTTGAAAGCGGGGAGCTGCCCTTTTTGTGACCCACATCCTGAACATCTACAACTGTGAGGGAGAAACATTGGATGTGGACATACATAGGACACCATCCTGGACGGCCAAGGTGGGGAAAGGAAAGGACGGCGAATACAAAATCCAAACATGAAATCAGATCCGACGAATTGAAAGGCTGACATTCTCCGAAGTGTTGGTCAACATGATCAACAAAATTGGAAGGGTTTGCTGAATTGTTTAACTTTAGATATAAAATGAGCTAGGTCCAAAACCTGATTTAAACAACAAACAAAAAACTGAAGAGCGGACTTGCGAGCAGCGACCCTACACCACTCCTTACTGCTCGTCAGCGGGTGCGGGTAGGCTTGGGTTCTGTACATGAGTCAGTCACCTGGCTCTAGAGAAGATATGTACAATTCAAAAAGGTGTGATGAGAACTATTATGAGATCTATATATAGCAGCTATGAGACACAACCTGTGAAACCAAACGAAGCTCGGAATGCATGGAAACAAAAACACACAAAATAACGTTAAGATGTTGTTCTGAATTCAATAGTCAATATTGCATGATATTGCCTAAAATTCCTAGTTCCAGTTGGGATGTTGGATGTTGGATATGGTCTAAGTGTTTGCCTTTACTCCAACAGTAAGGTAGTAAGGTACATGTTTTGTGAACGCCAGTGGAGGGCATGAACATCTCGGCTACGGTGCATTGTGAGGATTGCACTCGGCATGGAGTATGGAGTAAGACAATTATATACACTCCTCTGCACCCAATTTCGACTCTATCATCTGAGTAAGACAATTCTGTTTTTGTCAGAATTGGGTGGGGGGCAGGGCATACCAAACTTAGCATCTGCGTGTGAAAACCCCAGTGACAGGAGGCTCTTAGCACCCTGTTTGGAGTATAGGGGGATAAATCTAGTATTGGAGAATATCTGAATACGCTTTACCATCCATCGAAAAGATTCATATATACAGCGTTCAAAGGGGTTCAACATTTCAGTGGGAGCAGCCGGACTGGTGAAAGCGGTCCAATGCTCCCAGCTCACATGCAAAAAGAAGATTTGAGGCCCAGGGTCTTTGGTGGGACTTTGGATATGGAGCAAGGACGCTACTAGTAGCTCCTGGCCTTACTACTAGCAACAAGAAGCTACTAAGACTAGGAACAAAGGGCATCGCTACGAACGAAGCAAGGACACTACTAGTCCACCGAAGTCCCTGGGCCTCCAACCTACCACGACCCCGCTCGCTCCACCGCTCGCCGTCGCTCGTCTTTTGTCGCTCGACATCGCCGTCGCTCGAGGCCTGGGAAGCACGAGGATGGGTCACCCAAGCGTGGGATTCGTCGAAAGAAAGAGTGATCCAACATGAATCACACACCAAAACTTCTATGTCGCATCATGGTGATTTGTTGACACCTGGGGTTCCATGTCTGATCCATGAAAACAGAAGGGCGTCTGGAAGTCAAAGTTGATCCCCAATGTGGCGCCACCAAATTTCATGACACCTAAGACCCAACCAGCTTCCTCAAGGCATAAATATTTGTTGAGTCTGTGTTTGCGAGTGTGAAAACGGATGATTGATCTATGACCTCTATCACAGCTCTGTGTGCCTCTCTCATTGGCGCTGAAACGGGGTGCATTCATCAAACTTTCACAGGTGCTTTGAACAGTTGTAAAGCATTGCACCAGACGAGTATTTGCGTTGCAAAGCTTGTCAATCTTGTTCTGGGGCTGCTTAGTTCTTGTAAATCCATTATCCAGAAAGAGCTCTGCAACATCTGATGTTTTCAACAAAATGGTTCTTGTAATTTCTTGTCTTTAACTTTAAGCAATACTTTACTAGGACTAGGAGTCAGGCTTCTCGTCCCTTCAGGTCACCTGCTGATCAAAGGGACAACTGAACCTGGCAACCTCCCACATCCCCTGCCTTTGCGGCTGTCTCAGGCGAGCTGCCTCGAGCCAAACATCAAGACACGAAGAGAAGAATCAGCACCCGGTTGGTCACGGCCAGGTGACATGGTGACATGCCTCGAAACTCAAGTATTACGACTTTAGGTCACTTAGGTCCATCGACAAACCAAAAGTATTTGACCTAGAAGATCCTAGAAGTAAGACATGCCTTGTAACTTTATGACTGTCTCGCTAATTCACAAGTGCATGTGGGAAAAGTCGCACGCATGGGAACCACCGCCCCGCGTGGATCAAAGCTGTGAACGACCCCCTCGGATCTCTGGAGGAACAAACATCGGCAGTCGTCACATCAATCAGCATGTTCAGGTGGCCACGAACGTAACAAAGGGCATCGCTACGAACGGAGCAAGGACGCTACGAACGTAGCTCCTGGCCATACGAGTACAACAAAAATCTATGACGAACAAGGGCATTGCTACCAGTAACAAAGGGCATTACTACAAGAATCCCAGAACTTCCACTTCCAATGACTCATTTCACCCTGCCTGGTAGTCTTGATCCACCAATATCCACCACTTGTTAGGGAGCAACATGAGTCATGACTGGACTTCCAAAGACCTTTGCTAGGAACAATGTTCGCTACTAGTAGCCAAGGGCATCGCTACGAACGGAGCAAGGACGCTACCAACGGGGGACTCATGTTTACCGTGTTTCTCCTCGCCCTTTTGGCCGTGGAACGGCAATGGACATCACCCGACCGCCGGAACGCCATCCGTGATGCGCGGGCGGTTCGGCGGGGGCGCGTCGGTGAGAACTTGGTGGAAGCGACCAACCGTTTGGATCCAAATGGAAAGCTAGTGGACCTAATTTGGTCGTGTGGAAATCCTTGTAAAACACATGGGTTGGTGGACCTTCTGATTCACACTCTTCAATCAATGGTGGGCCAGGTTCTAGCCAGGAATCCCAGGCCCAAATCCACTGGTGACCAGTGATCTGCGAGGTTCATGGTCAGCGGGTGAAGAATACCCTCAACCAGGAAATGACATTGGAATTGAAAGAGTATCGCCCTCTTCAAGATAGCCAATGTTGTCACTTCTTCAACCATTCTCTGTCCCTTTATACAAAAATAGACAAAGGCTTCAAGTTTAGACCTAGTAATTGCTGTACTTTGGGGGTTCGGACCGTTGAACTTCCCAGATCCTGAATTTGTAGACAACAAATGAGCTCGGTGTAAACAATCCGCAAAGCAACAGGATGTCAATGAACATGAAGTCGGCAAGTCAAAATCGCCCTTCAGGTACCAAAATCACACAATCCTGTCCCTTTGGGGTGTTTCTCTTGACCCAGGCAAATGCCGCCTGCTCACTGGAACGACCACGCAGTCTTGGGAGGAGCTCCATCCAACTTCCACCACGCCGCCTCCTCTGCGAGGAATTGCTCTTCTTTCGCCATTTGGCTTTCCAGCTGCGCCAAGTCCTCCTGTCCCACGCTGAGACACGAAGAAAAACGAAGAAGAGCAAGCAACGCGGCGTCTAGTGAAGAGCTGCTTCTGCAAATTCTGCACCTAACCGATTATGTATGTTCTTGGACTCTGTAAATGTCAAAGCTCTAACTTTTTCTGCAAACAACTCTCGAGCTAAACACCATGTACATCCATGTTACCCACCACTCCCCACCGATCGATAAATATAGAACATCTTCCACTGACTTCGACACTTTCGGGCACGTTCGCCACGTTCGACACCAAATACAAACAACACTTCATACATAGCATGCTGCTTCCCAATCCGATCGCTCCAGGGTCTGCTCCAAGGACGAGGTCTCGTCGTCGGCATCGGGTCCAAGCGCCAGACCGCCCGCACCGTGCTCCAGGGCAGTGCGGCGGAGGCGGTCGCGCTCGGCCTGTGCAGTTCAGGGAATCAAAGGTTCTGCATCTATTTTGGTTCATCTGACTCAGGTGAAATCTGTTGATTTCGTTTTTTTTCTGCTATGAACCATCTGGAAACATCCTTCAGGCACACAAATTCAAACAGATATGCTTTGCGTTCAAATCACACACTGTCGAAATAGTGCCAGGGGAAAAAGGAAAACACACCACAAAACTGCTTCAATAACGAGCTTCAAAATAAACCGACTACGCAAACCACCTCAGATTTGATTCAATCTGATTTTTTCCCGCAAGGCTTTCCCCGATATCAACAGAAGCAAACCTGGTCATATATCTGTTGCAGGAGGCCCGTCCAAAGGCACGGACTTTCATCACTAAACTGATCCCTCCTCTCTTTTGGATTCTGCCTCCTTCTGCAGCTGCATCTGCCTTTGTGCTGCCAAAAGAGCCTGGGAGAGGAAATCTGAGTCTGTCGTCCAACTAGCCAAAGGGAAGAACAACTGTAAGTATTCTCACGATTCTTGTCCCAACTTCCACTTGGCAACCTGTTCACCTGGGAAAACGTTTGGTTTCTTATTTCTCTGTTCATTCGTCATCAACGTCGCTTAAGGATCTTGCTTCCGGGTTGCATCAACGTCAAACATGACTTGTCAAAACCTGTCAAGACCAGGTCCAGTCGTCCGGCCGCTCGCCGTCGGCGATGCTTGTCACTGCCTGCAAGTTCCGCTGGCTCCGAGCAGCCTGCCATTACAGGCTGAATGGTGAGGTGCAAGTGCAAAGACTTGAAGTAGGGAGTGAAACACCTAGCAGGTCAATAGCTCATACCTTACAGGTCAAGTCACTTAGCTCATATCAGATCACTCGGTCAAGTGAAGTCTACCGCATGTAAAAAGCATTGTTCAACAGCGTTGCCACACTCCCCAAGGTGGACCACTCACCCCAAAGTTTTCGCAAGACTTGTTTCATCTTTGCACAGGCCAGCCGCATGTCTTAATTGTTTGATCCCAAACACTCAACTGGTTGGTGGCTTCAACTCACTTGACAACTGTTTTATAGTCAGAGGTGAACAAAAATTATTGGAAGTAAAGGTTGAACAGAAACATCTCTGAACAAAAATCACCCACCACACCCACTCCAAACCGTTTCATTTCGATCGACCGGCGCAATGAAAGCGGTCGACCGCACGGTGGCGTCGGCGTCCCTCCTCGTCCGCCCGACGTCGCTCGTCGAGGAGCTGCTCGCGCGCCTGGCCGGCTCGAGGAGGGCGTGGCCGATCTGTGCTCTGGAAACATAAGAGAAAACAATGGTGTATAGTGTATAGTATGGGTAATTAAGTTGGATATGCCAAAAAACACAATGCAAACATATTCAAAGATAGATAGTTTTGGGAAGACTCTGTTAAACTCTGTAGCTTAGTCGAAACAAAGGATACTGGATACTTGGAGAGTCCACTTTGGCTACCTGGTTCCTCGGAAGAAGTCGCATTGCTTGCCCCAGCTTGTTTTTAGCCGGGCCATTCCAGCAAAACAAAAACCATTCTAGTAAACATTCAGGACATTGATCACCAAGGAGAGGTTCCAGGTCCAGCAATGGTTTCACTGCAACTCAGATCGGTCAAAAAGCCCTTGAAGAAGGTCTCAAGGGCCTTGACAAATGTTCCACTTTGCACCATGCGGCCGAACTCTTCCTCATCAAAACTGGTGGCGGTGGAACAATTCAAAGTAAATAAGAACTCTAACCTCCATAGTTCAAGTGAACAGTTCAAGTCCTTGAAGTGCTTGCCTTTGAGCCAAGATCTCAGCTTGCCTTTCGGCCGCATCAAACAACCCGCCCGCATGGTCGTTTGGGATGCTGCGGAAGCTCTAATGAAGCCCTGGCCAGGCCACCTGAACACATCTCACCAACCGCGTGAGATGTAAACCGTGTCGTGCAGACGTGCATGGCTTGCCCAGTGGAAGCATCGGTTTCTTGGCCAACACAGTCTTGATTTCTTCCCAGAATTCCAGTCCAAGAAGACCTGGTTTTCTATCAGGTTCAATAGTGTTCAACATATGAAACAATAAGAGCATCTCCAGGATGCTTTGTGAAGACTCGAACATCTTCCAAGATTCAATCATAGGAAATTCAGAAGAACGTCATCCATGGAACTCTTTCAGAACAAACATGGGGGTGGAACTCTCCTTGTAACTCTTCAGACCCCGTTCGAGAAACCTCGAATATCACTGGTGGCCAGGCTGTCGGGTCCGGTGAAGCCAAGCTAACCACCCACGCCTGGTCCAATTCCTTCTGCAAACCATTCACCTGCACATCTGCTTATGGTGAACACATCCAGTCAAAACTTGCGAGGTTTAGCGCATGTCCTGCTGCATAAAGGATTTCGGATACACATCCAGTCGAAAAGGTGCTGTTGAATTGTGGGTATGAATTTATACAAAGATCGATCAGAATCATGAACATTGATAAAATAGCAAATGGAGAGGAAGACTCCAAAGTCCGGCCCTGGCGTCTTGGGGTTCTGGCCCTGGCTTCCATTTTGAATCAGGATGTTTTCAAGCGTTTGAATAGGTCTTGGCCGTGCACCTTTGCTTACCAAATCTTACCAAGAAAACCAAGGCAATTCACCCCTTGTTCCCTCTTGGGAGACTGGAACTGGGCTGATTAAGTCACAAGTTGGGCCTCTATCCCCTCCATCCAACCAAGAACCGATGATTCAACCGCAACCTGTTCTTAGATCTTTTGGACAAATCCAGTTTCCGCAGTAATATACATTCTCTCAGATTCTACCACCTCCACTCCTCCATGTCATTTTCCAAATCCCCACTACCACCCCCAAAACGCACCCGCCACGCTTATCCGATAGCTCCTCGCCTCACTCCGCAAGGCTTCCGCCTGTGCCGCCACACTCTGGGCGCCCAGCACCGCCTCGTTGATGGAACGCTGCTGGGCTCCGGCCGCCAAGCGGAGCTTCGACCTGCGTCCGACTCGTCCCACCCCGGTCGGACCCTCGACGTCCGAAGGGACGGTGAAATTCCCATGTTTCGCGGCTTCGGCACTAAGCAGTTTGTTTACGACCTGTTTCTGAACGTAAACGGATGTAGACAAGGCCGGTCTCCAGACCCAAAAGGTTGGCTGACCCTGTAGTGATGTGGTAAGGTTTCACACTGCTAGTGGCAAAGAGTTTGATGTGACCCTTTTGTGACCATGCTCAAGAAGAAAAACAACTGGACAGATTTATCAACCTTCTATTTCAAGTGACTACATGAGCAATGCGCATCAAAACACATACATTGTTCCAGTAAAATATTCTGTCAGTATATAGAAGGAGCCTGCGTGCTCCACTTCAAGACGGAAACAAACACAAAAAAAACAGCACCCACAGCAGGCACTGGCCACCCATTTTTCCGGCGCCTCGCCTCTCAGCGCGGAGCTCTTCCTCAGCGAACTCCTGGATTGAAGACAAGTGAGGATATCTGGACTTGAAGGATGGCAACGGTTTGGCGAAGCTCGGGGGTTGGAGAACTTCCTGTAGCTTCAGCCGGCGACCAGCTCTCAACGAAGACGGAATCATCCCGGATTGCACAAGTCGGACCAAAGTAGAACGATAGGGCCCACGAGACTGATGGACTGGCTAGGACCGACCAATCCGGCCTGGTGAGTTGGCCTTTGTTCCGACCAAGCGGCATGGCCTGTGTGAACTCTGCAGATGTCTTCATGCGGCGCTGATTCTGGCGCGACTGTTCCATCTAGACGAGCCATCTGGACGGGGTCCGGCACGGCATGCTGTGACACTTCCGTTGCTCTTTCCACAACTCCGTGCGGGTTGACCAGCCCTGGCCGCACAAACAGCGTCAGCATGTGCCCTCAGGTGTCGCTCGTGTGCGGACAGTTCAGCGTGGGTATCCTGGAATCCTGATGAACACCAAACATTGGCAGGATTACCCTGGTGATCTGCAACAAATGGCGGGGTGTGCTTGAATTTTGACCTAAGCCCTCTTTCCAACATAGCACTTCTCAACCAATGTACCTGGTAAAATATGTGTCCGTCTACCCCAGTTACCCTTGATAAACAACAAATTGGATGCTGACGGGCATGGTAGGGGAGATCTTGTTCCTCCACAAGCAATCATCTGGTTTGTATTGTGAGACCACCCGGCCAATGGCCTTTTAGTCAAATTTCAGTCTGCTTCCCTGTTACATCCGGTTTCCACACATGTCCACATCGGTAATGTGCTTGTGCCCATCCAAACTCGAGAAGAATGGATTCAATCCCGAAATTGTTTGGCCTTGAGGCGATTGTTGCTACGGCGCGTCACGAGGAATCAAGAATTGTCCCTCCTCGCTACGTGGGAAGTGTTTTTTCCATTATTTTCCTCAATGTCCTAGATATGTATATTTATGTGTTTGCTTGGGAATTGATTTCCCTAGATACTCTTCCTAGCTTCTGTTGCTCTTCTAAAGATGGTTTTCACTCAGCCCTGAGAGCACAAAACATTCTCTGTGAACAGGTAATCTACGTGAAGTTGAGTTGACGTAACACATCACAACACTGACCAAAACACCTGATGCTTTTGATTGACTACATTTACATGTATCAATTATCGAGTCACCATGCTTTCAGTGGCGCCTGGCCACCTACGCCTGGCTCGTGAAAACGCTTCGTAACCCGTCATCACCTGCATCTCCAGGCGCTGCGTGGCGTCCGTCATCCGTGCGCGCAACACCTCGACGGCGTCGTCGGCTGGAAGTCCCCGGGTGAAGCCGCAGCCTTTAGATCCACAGAGGTCCTCTTGGGTCCAGGATCGAATGACCGGGCAAAGTTGAACCAAAATCCGTCCCCAATGCCAAGGATTGATTTTTTTTGCGAAAGTGTTGCTGATCATCTATTTTCCACACGACACTACTACTCCTATTGAGTTTGGAGAGAGTCACACACACACCAAACTCACAAAGGGTGCTTGATCTTTCAAATTAATTGAATTACTGTATGTATATTGAATTCAACTATAGCAGGCATGTGATGATTCAGCCGAGTTTCAGCACCGCCTAAAGAAAGGCTGTCGTTCCAGCAATGCTTTGAATCGGTCGGTCTGTCTAGACCTGCTCCCATGTCAATGCATCTTCTTGACCTGGAAACAATTGCAAAGCTGGAAATGCCTTGACCAGTGTGTGAAAAAGTTTTCCAAATCATGTGTCATGTTCACCGGAGGCCAGGACAGTCCAGGGAGATCACGGTGGATGACCGTCGACACACAAACATTTGGCTCATTTAGGGGGTGGATTTCAATGTGCAATCGCACTTGAATGAGCTGCGGGTAGACCTACAAAAAACCGTCGAACAACATATTTTTTGAGGTCAGGAACAAACCAATTATATACCTCACATGAAACCTCATTCAGAGCACCAGCGGGTACGCCTTGGCTCCCCAACGGCCACTTCGGTGTCATTGTCTCGGAAGCCACTTTGGGCCGCCTCCTGGCACAAGGGAACCAAACCATGGACGTGGATGATACATGCCCAAAACTGTGTGAACGATTGGATCTGATCCGTGTCATGGCAGCACTCATGTCGACCGTCAAGATCATGAACATGTTCATACTCTAGAAAAGAGGGAAACGTTTGTATATATGTCATCCAACAAAATGACCCAAAGGTCCATTTTGTCCATTGCCATGGAGGCCTCAAACAGCACTTCGGGGGCCTCCTTGGTCCGAAGCTGCTCAAAAGAGCCATGGAGCTCTTGGAGCTCCGAGACATAGGACTCCACCTGCTTCGAGCCGGTCAAGCAGCGGCAGGAGAAAAGGCACCGTTTTGGCAGGAAAGTCTTAGGGGCCGGGGACGGGCTCATCTAGCTTTAGAGCGCTCTCTTTAGGGCATTGACATAATAAAGTTTGACCCATGGATGCTTTGTATTCTTGAATAAGGACAGCAACTAAAGGACAAATTTTAAGTAGTAACAACACATTGGTTCAACTTTAGCACAGTGCAACATGTATTCAATTCGAGTGGAACAATGGTCCTCCGCAACATGCCTTTCACTTCAGTTGTTCTCCTCAAGATTATCTACAGTTTTCTTGCAACGGGAGGCCGGGTTCGGCCGCATGAGTTACTGACTTGCTCCATGTCCGAGCATGGTGTGTCCAAGCCAATCGCAAGCAGGGCAAACCCTGATAACTACTATTTTACTTTCAGTGATCACCCGCTGTCGGACACATGTCTTGACAGACCTGACAAACGCTGCCTGAAATGCGCATTGTCAGAATGTTATATAGGCTAGGAAATATTATGGACTGTGTTCTGACATCCGTACATATGTTCTGGTATTTGCCCTGCCGTGAAGTCTGACACGTGCTGTGACATACAGACATACAGTCCGACTTCGGTTTTGATATGTGCTGCGACATGTGCTGTGCCATGTATCCCGACACTTGTTCTGCTATACAACCTGCCACTTGTTCCAACATATGCTCTGACATAGTGACATAGTTTCAGACATATGACTTTGCATTCTTCAAACACTACCAACATTCTACCTGGCACATCTTCTGACTTCCTCTCTGGCATATCTTTTTGCATTCTACCTAACAAATCTTCTGACATCTTTTCCAGCAAGCCATCTGGCATATCTTCTGCCACTCTTTCTATCATGAACCTTGCATCCTTTCTCCCGTTCTATCTGGCATATCTTCTGACATCTTTTTGGCATTCTTTCTGGCACAGCATCTGGCATTCTACATGGCATCTTTTGCAATCCGGCATGGTCTTCGGCTTTCCTCCAATCGATCTTTCATATATTCTGACATCTTATCTGGCATATCTCCAGAATTTCCAACTGGCATATCTTCCGGCAGTCTAAGTGCCATACCTTTTGGCATTCTATCTGGCACATCTTGCAGCAGTCTATTTGTCATAAATTCTGGCATTCGATTTGGCGTATCTTCGAACATCTTTTCTGGAATGTGTCCTGGCACTCTAGCTGGCAGATCTTTTACCATTCTAAACTGGCATAGATTCTGACATCCTGGCATCCTGCCTGGCATCCCTTCGAACATTCTCACTGGCATATCTTCGGATATTGTAGCAGTATCTTCTGACATCATTTCTGGCATATCTTCTGGAATTTTAGTTATCACATCTTCTGACGCCCTTTCTTGCATTCTATCTGGCTTCTGGCATTCTCAATGGTGTGCAAGTCCGTATGTGCCCAGACTGCGCTGGCGCTCTTGATGGTGCGCAGGTTCGTGCGCGCCCAAACTGAGATGGCACTCGCTGCGACATATGGCAGAGAAATAGGAGGAGTAGTACCTTTGCTAAAAATCCAAATCCCTCACCTGGCAATGTTCCAGGAAAACCGAACAACCACATGAAAACAACAACAGCTGCCCTACTGAATGAGCGTCCTCAAATGTTTCTCTGAGCGGCACTGCCAATAGCCTGACGCCATCTCATGCCAATAGTTACTTGCGAAGTTTTGTCAATATGATGCATTCACCTCGCCCTATTGTACAACCTGCGGTTCTCAGCCGGGGCTCTTTCCTTAAGTCTGAGTCCGACCTCTGAGCCCACGGACCTCCAACCGAGCCAGGTGACGTCCACGCCTGCTGATTGAGCGCGTCCACCGCCAACTCAGTACGCTGTCGCTCCTCGACAGCCTCACAGGCGGACAGCCCAACAGGTCATGAGCCTCGTCCGGTGTTGGTGTGTCTATTTCGAGCAAGACGCACCCCAAAAATAGAATGACATGCCAAGGAAATTGATCAAAAGAACAACCACATTTGTAAGAACTCATTGTTCAGATCTTTTCAGTGTGCTTCGATGCTATTCTTGTCATATTTCATGGCAATGAATGGTTCATGGTCTGCTTTGTCGTTTTGAACATTTTGAACGCCAGCATCCTCTCAAGATCTGAGCTGAGACGCATAAAACACATTTAAAAACCATCCAAAGCGCCAAACTCCTCACCCTTTGAAAACCCGGACAGAAAAGCCTACATCAGGTCCTGCAGAAGGACTTTTCTCTTATTTAGTCGTATTTGGACAGCCAGTCTCGCGCGGGTGATTCGCTCGCCTCTTGGCAGGCTGCCAGAAGGCTATCTCTCTGGAACTCCCGCCCACGAAGCTCCTGGCAACATGACTGTGCTGAGCAAGCGGCTCATGCGGCTCATTTGGAGGTGCATTCGTGTCATTTTGTAGCAACATTGAGTCTGAGGCAATACGTATGTCTCTCTTTCTGATTCTTTCTGTATAATCGCGCTGAAGGGCCCAACATATGCCTTTGAGGATGTCAAGTGGCCACAAAAATGTACCCATCAATGAGTTGAACGAGTACTAGAACCAGTGAGATCAAACTACTTGCCGGTCAGCTGACACTTCCCTTGCTCTTGCGGTTGAGGAACACCAGGACAGGAACACCATATCTTTTCAACACGACCTCGAACCATATCTGATATTGACTAAATCATATATATAGTTTCAACCAGTCATGCATAGTCATGCTTACCAAGGAATATTGATTGCATGACTCTTCCATGATTCTCTCCCCCTCTCTACTGCTACATGCATGATAAGACCGGATTTGACAAACTCGAGAAGGTCGACCATTCAGCAAAACCAGGTCGACCATTCAGACCAGGTTGAAGAAGGGATGCCTTGAGAGTGATGACCGGTGCCACTGACGGTGCCATTGGCCGGACGACTGTGGAGCCCGGTCGGTGGCCTGTAGCATCGGCAAATGCTGAGCCTCATGCTCCTGGAGCAGTTTTGATGGCTTGACCCGGAAATCCGAACCTCAGACTCAACCTGAGATTATTGCAGAACTTATTGCAGAACTTTTGCGGAAAAAAAGGTACAATCCAAGACATCAAGGCTGTTGCTCCTACCTCCACCACTTTGGATTTCCTCCTTCCATCCCTACCACAAAGCCCTACTAATCAGCTCCTTGCTGGCGGAGTCCAGCTGCTGTGCCCGCGAGCGGTGCTGCCGCAGCTGCTGGTGCAGCAACTGGTTCTCTCGAGTCATGTGCCTCTGGGATGGGCCGTCTGGGGATCTTTATCACGGACGAACAAGACAAACAAGCGAAATCCAGAAGCGAAATCCGACGAACACATCACATGGAAATGGATGGCACCACCTGTTTGTAGAGGACAATGGTCTTCACAGGGGCCATGCCATCCCCTTCCATGTTAGTGAGTCAGAGTGTAGTCTTTGTCTTGGACTTGTTTGAAATGAGGTCAGGTCTTAGCTGTCCGACTCCTCAAAGCCTAGCAATCTCAACCCCCCTCCCTGCAGCAACTACTGATTCAAGTGAAATCCTTCAGTGTTGATATCTTCTCATGAGTCTCATGAATGGTTGAAGAACCCCCCTGCCATCTTTGTGAACAAAAAACATGAACACCCGCTGGCCCGCTGGCAAAGGGTCCCAAACACATAAGTCATCCCTGCCCAACTATCAAACAAAGCATGACTGACCATCTCGCGCACGCCATCACACAACATATAATGACACAACCTCTATAAATTCTGTCGCACCTAGCTCCCTACCTGGTGTCTTTGAATGTCTCCATCCACTGTATGAAGACGTTAAAAACGAATGCGTCGACGGGCAACCACCGCCGGGCCGGCACCTCAAATCCTCCAGGGCCGTCTTCTCCTCCTTGCCGCGCTCCGACAAGTCGCCTGGGCGCTCCAAGAGCACTCGGGGCCCAGGAAGGCACTGGAGTGGACCGACAAGGAGTGGCCAGGAAGATGGTTGGCATGTTTTGGTCCCTCAATGTCCCTCATCAAGCTTAATTAAGAAGGTGGCTACTGTAGATGATTTGGCTGATGAGGTTCTGGAAATTTATTCCGTGGTTCGACCAGGTTCTGGAGCTAAGAACGGATTGTCTGGTCTGTTTTTTGGTTTCCAAAAGTTCTAGACCCAACTGCGAAATTAAATTGAACACCTTGTGCATCGAGTATAATGCTTATTATATATCAAACAGTACCAAGCTATATATCAAGCTCATCTTACTGATCAGCTCGTTGGCTGAGCTCTGACGAGAAGGTCAGCTCGAGTGACCTGCGGTGACATGGCAGCCTTATAAGATGACTAAGTGCTCCAGCGGCCCATCTTTTGGAACAAACCTCATATGACATGTATTTATATAGTTATACACACATAAATATGGATCCCTCAATGGTCAGTCCAAACTGGGCATGAACTTGATCTCCTCGACGAAAAAAACAAACAAACAGTCATCACATGTTTTCTGAGGATCCCAGCTCGCGGTGCCTTGCACCTGCGGTGCTCGTTTGTGCTCGTTTGTACCAGAGTGCTGTTAGAGGGTGCCACTATGATGTGCTATGCCATCTGACGCGAGAAGGAGTAATGACAAGGCTTGACCTCATGAGGTTGGGCAACTTATTTTCCGCTTCGTCTTGGGGCGGGCCTTCATAATGAATCATATGATACCAGTTGCACAACAATGTTGAGGAGAGGGGGGGCTTACGCATGACCGTTTTGTGTCTTGCTACGCTCGACCAAACTAGGTGTGTTAACCTCGACCCCGCTGGGTTCTGGAACCTTGACCCTAGTGGGTTCTAGAGCCTCGGCTCCAGTGGGTTCTGGAGGCTCGGAACCCTCCCACCCAGGCTCGTGCTCTTTTCTTCGCGAACTCCACTGGCACGTAACTTCTCCTTAGCAAATCAAAGTTTGCTTTGGCCAGGGGCTGATGGGAAAAGGACGTGGTTTTATGAGTGATTAGGGGCAAGGACGTGGAAAACCACGTTCCTTTTGACTTCTTTTCAAGCGGCTTCACAATCCACGATCTTGTTAATCATGTGGTGCCAAGACAATTCGATCCAAGACAGGGATAACATTGTGATTTGTTTTACAAAGGGACCAGCTTGCTGAGTGCCCCAGGGCCGAAAGGGCCCGCGCCGAGCCCTTTCCATCCGGGGTTCCGAACATCTCAAGCGCCAACTCACCAGTGATCTGCAGCGGTCATCCTGCCAGCAATTTTGTAGGCTTTTGTAGGTATCAGACCTCACAAACTCCCAAACTGTCCTAAACTAATCATCTTCAGGCCCCAGCTCCACAGAATCCATCATCTCGCCTGCAGAGGAAGCAAACAGAATGTTCAACTTTTCAACGAAGGGCTCAGACACACACGTCCTGCCTGCCAGCGGCTTCAAGGACGAACGTGCGCGAGGAGCTGATGGTCCAACTGGCTTCCAGCCAGCAAAACAAACGTCATCTGGACGTAACTTTTGGAGAAAGTCTTTGGGGTACAGCTCTGTGCGGTTACAATGTGCCATAATCATGCTCCCTTCTTTCATGACCTGCTGCATCGCCGCCTCCGTTGCTTGATGCAAACAATCAAGGGCTTCAGCAGACAGTCGATATTCTTTTGGAAGAAGATCTCTGGAAAGACGTCGAAACGACGTCTTCAAAATGGCACGGGGTCTGTCCATGTCCTTTTTAACGAAGGCCTTCCACTTTCGACGGCGTGCCTCTTTCTTGTCTACGCTGCCACGATCCCACTTCTCGACTGCTTGGGCTGCTTGTTCAGCAGCAAGGGCGGAGCACTCCAGAGTGCGTCGACTTTGAATGAAATCTGCAAAGCTCTCTCCCAGCCTCATTCGCTGCCTCCTTCCTGCAGCAGGCACATCACGTTGGCGGGCTCGGATTCGTCGTAGGAGGTATTTCAGTTGGTTTCGGCTACTTGTCCAACGATCTCCCAACTCTCTCCGAGCGACATTTGGTGTAGGGAAAAGACCTGTCCTCTGGACCAAGTCAGCAACGCAAGATTTTGCTGCTTGCACCTCTACCACCGAGATGCCCCCACGAGAAGCTCTCCGAGCTTCTCTTCTGTCAGCAGTACACTGCCCTGAGACCCGAATATTGAGACCATACTCTGCGCCGCGCAAGCCACCTCGAAATTCGAAATGACGACCATTTCCTCTGGAGCAGCCTAAGCATTTTGAGCATCTGGCCACCATCCGAAAAACGCCTTGTTGAGGCCTCGGTGTGGTCCTGTGAGACAGCTTCAAATCAGCTGTCTCCTCCTATTGCCTCACCACATCCCTAAGAAAGTGCCTGTCAGGTCTTCCACCTGCAGGAGCTGCGAAGATCTTGTCTTCAAAGTCTTCCCACTGATGGGATCGGTGCGGCATCTGGTCTATCTGCAGCCCTTGAAGATAAAAGTGCAAGAAAAAGTGCAAGGAAATGGAACATGTTCAGAGGTTCTTAAGTCTGAAGCAGATGTCAAAAGACCAAATTCAACTTTGGTCTATATCACACTCTCAGCAGCACTGCGTCATGCTTAGTATTTGTAAGAACATGAAAGGGAACGTGGTTTTTCAATGTCTCAACTTGAAATCTCTCCAAAAACTGCGTCCTTTTAATGGCAGAATCTGATCCCACAAACCCGGCCTCGATGTAGAGGCTGTGGACCAAGAAGGGCTTCTTTGCTATTGAGAAAGGGAAGCGGACAAGGCATGCAGGTCAAGCTGGGATAAGAGTACCCATCCTAGTCGTGGTGAAAGGACCCATTCTAGTCGGGACAAAACCCAATGAAGTCGCTTCAAAACCCAGAGAGGTTATGGTTAAACCCCTCCCTACAATGTTGAGAGACATGTTCTCCATGGAGAGCAACAGGCCACAATGGAGAAACAACATGAAACAACATCGTGCTTGACACACCATGCCATGCATGGCAACCCGCATTGCTGAGCTCCGCTCGAGACCAGTGATAGGATTCTCGAATAGCGAGGCCAAATGTTTTCTTTCAGGAAACAAGGCCTTTTTGATGGCCTGCTGCTCCATGGACATTCGGACTCCATGGAAACTGATCAAAAAAACCCAGCCCTTGCCGTGGGTTCTCGCCTCAGCCTCCACCAGCCGTAAAGCATCCAAGGCTGAAGAAGTGCTGCGCCTGGGACCGTCAGAACACTCAGAACATAAAGAACTGGGAATGCTCATCCTCCATCTGTCTGGGATGACAAAAGGAAACACCCATGAGCCAAGCTCTTGTGTGGCAACGTGCAGCTGCGCGATGTGATGTGTCATGCTTTGTGGCGATGTGATGCTTTGTGGCAGTGTAAGGAGGCAACATAGCAAGCGGTGCAACTAGCAACACCCTCTCAGAGAACTTTGCAGGCAGCCTGTCATGACATGACCTCACGTTGACAAACCAAAACATAAACAACATCGCATTTCCGCTATACACCTGCAACTTATCTCATCTGTCTTACTGCAACATTGTCAGCATGCATTAGATCCAGCAAATAAATCACCTGTCGTACTGTACTGCTGTGATACCATTTCTCTATGTATCAGTTTGATGGGCTTGTTGGTGAAGCCTGTGCCTCATCCTGAAACTTGGCACCAACCAAATCACATACAGTAATATGTTTCTTTATATATGTACGTATTTAATTGTATTTAACTAGTATTTTACAGAGTGCTTCTCACCACAAGGCTTGCAATTTCACTGCTGCCCCCAGACCCAACATAACGTCAACATTGAACATCTTTCTGCGCTTAGTTATCAGATCGTGTACTACATGGCAACATGCTCCAGGATCGTGGAACATCGTCGAAACAGTTGTGACTTCAGGAAGGAATGCATCTAACATTAGCAAATCATGTTCATCCCTTCCCTTCCGTACCCCTTGGGACAAAAAAAACGAGCTTTTGGATCCAACTATATATATTCTCCACCGGTCGCCACCGAGAAGTGGCGTGCCCTCTCGTGGCGGCTCTTTTCGGGGAACTCCCAGGCGCGTCAGGCGCATCAGGTCTTTGAGTTGGTGACCACATGGTCACCACACACGTCATGGGTCAAGAGTCAGTCAAGAGGTTGTAAGAAAACACACATAGAAGCACTCGCAGAAGAGAGAGAGAGAGAGAGTATAGGATAGTGTGCTTTTTCACCGCATCCTCTGACAAACAGCCGGTTGGACCGGAGGACCACCTTTGCTTCTTTCTTTTTGTTCTGACTAGTCATGATTGTATGCCGCATGCCTCTGGTTCTGATGTACCATATACATGCCTGGTAGGTCTGCGAAGAGCTTTGAAAGACTTTGAAAGGCTTCCCTTCACCCTCCCGTGCCGTGCCCTTTCCCTACGCTACGAACGGCCCAGCGGCGTGTCGTCTGCCTGCAGCGAGTCAATGCGATCTTCTGAACGACGTTTGCGAAGCAGTGAGGGACAAAAAAGCAACACCAAGGGATGAAAAATGCTGTTGATTCCTGATGTGCCATAATGGTCCACTAGACTCTAGACTTCACCCAGACTCTCTTTTGCGGATGTAGTATGTAGTATCTCTTCCGTGATTGTACTCACAAAAAAACATCGCATGAGAGGCGTCTCGCATGGACCATCGGTTCCCTGAAATGGATCGATACGCCTTCCCTCACCATCCGGGGCTGGTCGCTGGGTTGTGAAACCGGACTGGGAGTGTTCCTTTTTGCACAATGTCTTTGGCAGGGTTCCGGATCAATGAGTGGAAATTCCCTCTCCTCGTTTTTGGCACGTCCGATTTGAGTCTCATTCTGACCAACAGTCCAGGAGGATAGTCCGAAAAGGAAAGAAGCACAATGGCGTGCCGGACAGCTCTTTTTTTTGATAATTTTTGATATCATGTTTTGCTTTGTCCTCGTCAAATGCTGCCCTTTCCTACTGTGATGCTCCCTTTCTGCATCTAGTGCACCAACTCATCCTGTGTTCGGGTCCATTGTCGGGCTTCCCGACCAAATCTCCCTGCTGATGGGCAATGGCTTGCTGCAACTTGTCTATGGTCCACCTGGTTGCTGCACTCGCTTTCTGCACTTGGCCAGGGGAAAAGGGATGCATGACTCACGATGGCTTTAACAACCAAAGACTTGGAACTCCATTTCTGACCTCATGGTGACAAATGGGTGAATCTTTTGATTAGAATGTGAAACAGGATGGATTTGTATCCAAAGACTATATATATATATGTTACTATGGGCAATTCTACTAAAATTTGAGTGTCCACGCCCAACTAGGGTGGGTTTCAAAAGCCCACGAGATCCTCCGAGACCTGACCAGGAACTTCTTCCAGTGCATCACGCGAGTCGGGAATGACAAACATGTTCCTCATTCCGAGTTCTACTGGCAGTATCAGGAACTCGGACCCTGTGAAGTCTCTGGGGCAGTTGGCAAAGTCAATGTTGCTTAGCTGTTTCCTTCATTTACAGTGGCACACATTTCTCAAGTCTGGCTTGTGTGCACGTGTGTGCATACACTCCGTGTGTGCATACACTCCAAGAGAGAACATACTGGCAACTCTTGCCACGGCTCTTCCCTGACACCATAATGACAACATATGAAAACACATCTCCAGAACCTACACATTCGATCCCGGTAAAGTTATGACCCCTGCTTGGAATAGGGCGCTGATGGGAGGGGAGAAGCACAAACATCGGCTGCCCGACTCCGCCAGAACTGCCGGTGACAGCGTCCAAAGCAGCTGAAGCCAAAGCTGGGCAACCCAGGCTGCATGTCCCCGCGCTGCCGCTGCAAGTCTTGCGCCTCTTGCTGCAACTGCAGTAGCCTGAGGCACAAAAGCATTGTGCCAAAAAGTGACATGAGCAGCGAAACAAATGCCCGTGGATCATGAGTCTAGTTCGGCAACACTATCTAAAGAGATCTAAACGGTTCCTAATGCCAGAATTGGCTAGTTTCCTCTGTCACCATACACATGTTCATTCGAGATCGACCTTGAGCGTCGGCAACAGAACAAGGTAAGTAGATGTAAGTAGTAACAGTAAGAGTGACACTGCCCGAAGCTAGCAGAACATCTCCCAGTTATTGGAGGACTTCCATCTACCAGACCCTAAAAAGGGATTGACACCGTGGTGTGGAAATACTTGTTCCTGACTTGGTGGACACAATGGTTCCAAGATGATGAAACAAACAATGCTTTGGCCGTGCTACACCGCCATTCTCCACACCAACCGCGCTGTGCACACCAACCCCACACCGCGCACATCAGGTCGAAGCGGCCCAGCACCGGCGACGTCCGCCGCACGCTGCAGGCTTTGCTGATCCGACTGCACGACGTTGGAAGCGAGGCAAGCGACACAGCAGGACAAATGGTTTGCTTCAGGTGGCACAAAAATTGGGGATTCCCTCAGTGCTCAGTGCTTAAAACAAAAAGCAACAACATTGAGAAACTAAACACTAGTAACTTACTATACCACTATACCGAACTATCAAACATCTGGAGAATGCATCCCAATGCTTCCCATGTTGTCACGGTTTGCCAACTAACAACAACAGCTGCCGTGCCGAGTGCCCAGGCCAGGCAGGGCCCCGGGCGTTGGGCGTTCAACCAATGTCAATTCCAAACTCATTGCGAAAAAGCTCCCAGTAGCGTCCTTGTTCCTAGCAGCGATGCCCTTTGTTTCTAGTAGTGTCCTTCCTGAAATAGTCATGGAAGTGGATAGCATGGGCTGAAAGGATTACTCATGTTCCGAATACCAAGCTGGTGGTTTTACACTTGATGATTTCAGGGATTTTCAGGGAGTGTACTGTGCTTGGTTTCAACTCGACTTTTGAAACCAACAGTTCAAGACCCTTCGGTCAGTCAAGAAAGGGTGCAACCAAGCTCGCTTACCTGAAGGCGAGCTGAAACGATGGCACCACCAAAAAACAACAACCCTTCCAGACCCCTCTCCTTTTGCAGGCTGGGCTGCTGGATGGTGTTTCTCACAATCTCCTGATTGATGCTTTTTTGGAACACGTGTCTAACAACCGATGTTCTTGCAAAAGGCTTAAAAGCAATGCCACTTGGCCTCCAGGTCTGCGATGTGTTCACGCAATGACCTGGCTTCCTCGGTCAGCTCCTGTGCGGTGAAAGCTTGTGCCAAAGGCAAAGCCAGGTCTTTGACGCGCAGCTGCACAGTTGGTGTGGGAGAGAGCAATACAAACATATCCTCCATTGTGGTTGCAGGCTCAGATGAGCCGCCAA